ATCTATCTATCTATCTATCTGTATTTGCATATATCTGAATGCACATACAGATATGCTTATCCTTACGCATTTCCATCGTGCATGTCAATTTACTCGATAAACACAAACCCAAAACCCGCGAGTAGTTCTACCCATGAAACCTGTCTACATCTAGCACCCCCCCTCAAAAACTGTTCTGTAGAAAGCTTTTCTGCAGGCCTAGGACATTTGAGGGCCCCAAATCCAACAGCGTCAAACCCGAAACCCTAAACCCGAAACCCACAACTTAAACCCCGAAGCCGTACCTAGCGGTATCTTGGACGCGCAAAGCTCCCTCAGCGGCAGTAGGACTTCCGGAGGAACCGAGAGTCCTTCGAACAAGGATTCACTCTTATAGGGGCCGTAATGAATGGAATAAGGCTTTTGGGATGTATGTAGTATACTATAATTCTACTAAGGAACCCCCAAAATAATACCAATACTAATAATTTCAACCCCTATATTCAGGGCTCCGTTGGGGGCTTTAGAGTTTATGGGGTCCAGGATGCTCCGGGGCTTTGGGGTTCAGGGCTTCAGGGTTGAGGGGTGTAGGGGCTTAGGGGTTTAGGGTTTAGGGGTTTAGGGGTGTAGGGGTGTAGGGGTTTAGGGGTTTAGGGGTTCAGGGCTTCAGGGTTTCGGGGCTTAGGGGTTTAAGGTTTAGGGGTTCAGGGTTCGAAGGGTGTAGGTAGGGGTTTAGGGCTTAGGGTTTAGGACCATGTCAGCCACAGAATCTCCAGAACCCCCTGACTAGTGAGTTTACTATACCTTAAACCATATTAAGGATCCCGCCTGTGTGTGTGAGGCAATGTAGGGGCTTTTAACAATCAGAAGAGAGTTTTGGGTCATAATACAACATAGTTGTCGTGATGAAACCTTAGAATAGGCATATTCTGTGGCTGAACTAGGAGCTTTTGATTGCAGGGCCAGAGCAATGTTCCAGGAGCCTAATAATTAGAATGTGTATTTTTTCTCTGGCCTAGGAAGGGATACTGCCAATTGTTCCGACACCTATACCAGGGTAAACTAGGAGAACCGTGTTCAGACTCTTCCCAGGATGACAGAAGTGAAACTGACTAGATCAGGCTGCTTCTTCATGCTATTGAGGAAGTTTCTCGCGGTCTGGCCCATGGGTGTCCACCGCAGTTTCGACTTCTTGCCGGGAATGTCACCTCATGGAATAGAAAGAAAGTCGAGACTAGAGATTTGACTCGAGTGCTTCAGCGTATCAGCAGAGGCAAGCGCGATTATCCTTCAGGAAGCCATTGCCCTCAATGGCCTTGATGTGCACGGCTTCCTTCAGGAACTCACCTGCTGTCGTCTTCTGGAAAGCTTCAGGTGAAGACCTGTTGATGATCCGGAGCTTCATGAATTTGGACATGTTCCAAGGAATGCTGCCTGAGCCTTCCTGAGAGGACACGTGGAGTCTCATGGAATCTTGCAGACAAACATGGCATGGCTAAATCCCTGAACCCTATACCCCTAAACCCTTACCCCTAAGCCGCAAACCCTAAGCCCTTTAAGCCCAAAAGCCCTTGGCCTTTCCCTCCATGGTTCACGGTAAACCGTAGACATGACACACGAAAAGCAACGAGAAATCATTGATCCCGTAAGGCTCGAAGACCCTAAACCCTAAACCCTAGATGCACCAAAATCAACAAAGCGAGCCGTGGAAGCTCCACACATCCTGAACCCTCAACTTTACGGTTATGTTTTTTGGGGGTTTGCTTTTGTTTGAGGACCTAGGGTCAAGAAAAAATATAATAAACAACTCCACAGATTCTGCAAACCTTTGAGCTCTGACTTTCTTCTTTGGAGTTCGACCCGTACTGTTCAGATTGCGCAGTTTAGGTTGCAGGCTTTAGGGCGACGGAATTGGAGGCCCTTTTCCCTGATCCCTAAACCCTGTTGGAAGTCCTTCAGAGATTTTAACTGACTCCAATGCCAAAAAGCCTCAGACCCTACCACCCCAAATCCGGAAACACCTGAAGCCCACCACAGGGTTTGGGACTGCTGTGGAAAAGCTTGAAAGGCCTTAGCCCTAAACTGGGTCCCTGTTGGGGCTATATTAAAAATGATCATTTTTAATCCTTATTGGGTTTTATTATAACGAAACTGTAAAACTGTATCCGACAAATACCCAGTAAACTCTAAACCCCAAAATCCTAAAGCTACGCAGGACACTGCAAGCACTCGCTCCTCCCCGCACCAGCGCGAAGACGAGCCTCTCGCGCTGAAAGCCCATCTTGTCCTGAACACCCGCTTTTTGGCTTAAGAAGGTTCTTGTGATGTAGGGCCTTTATTGCATAGAATATGGCTCTGGGGTATGTTGCCATGATTTCTACGGGGAACATGAGGGGATACTCGGCTGCTAGTAGCCGTGTTAAGGTCCGACGGTGAATCGGCTTCTGATGCAGAGCTAACCTCGCAGATGATGACATGCATATTATATTCTACTATATTCTTGATTTGTCTTAGTTGAACACCCCACGACGCAAAACTTTACAACCTGATCCCTAAACCCCTCAACTCCCAACCCCAGCCACCCAGACTCTAAGCCGCCAAACCCAAAACGGGTGTCTTTCGACCTCACACATGAACAGCTTCCACAAAATCAGGGACCCCTGAGTATGCCGACAGGGGGTCGTCGCATCCTGGACACTACTAGAATCGCACAACAAAAAATGTAAACGGAACCCCCAATGCGAACCCACCACTCTGAACAAAAACACAGACACAACCTCATAGCAAGTAACCCAAAAACTTGATAAACAGACACACTTCTACTCAGAGAGAATCAAAGATCGCCCTTGCCCGTAACCCCGAAAACCCTGAACCGTGCGGTTTAGGGTTTAGGGTTTAGGGGTTTAGGGTTTAGGGTTTTTAGTGCCTCCAAGCCAGCAGCGACTGTGAGCCTGGGCTTCTGCAACTTTCAGCCGTCCCCTTTAAAGGGGTAAGGGTTCCTTTGAGGGTTCCTATAAAGGGTTCCTTTAGGGGTTCCTTTAAGGGTTCCTATAAAGGGTTCCTTTAGGGGTGTAGGGTAGTTCGGGTATATAAGGTCTGGATAAGTAAAGAGGATGTTACCAATTCTTCTGACCTCTATCATGCCTCTATCTCTAATGTAGGAGCCTTAATAATTACAACAGGGTTTTTGGGCACCAAAACTCAAGGTATAATAAGGAACCCCCAAAATAGTCTAGGTAATTATTAAGGCCCCGATCTCTATATGAAAGCTGTAGGGTATCAGGGCAGAGGGGTTTGGGAAGGGTTTCAGCTTGGGCTGGGGCTTTTGCCGAAACCCTAAAGCCCGAACGCTAAACCACTTACAGAGCGCAGAGTCTGATTTGAAGGGTCGTGAGTCGAGAATGAGACTAAAAACCCAAACCCCCAAACGCAGCACCCTAAGTTCACAACTCACAAGACTTTGTGGCTTTTGGTTCAAGCTACCATTATAAATCATAGGGGTCTGTCGTACATACTATGGTTTCTTTCTTATGGTAATTTATCTTACAGTCCCTAACAAGAACCCCAGCTCTGGGTGTAGGGCTCTTGAAAGAAGCCTACAGAGTCAACGCTAAACCCCGTACCCCCAAACAAGGCCCTAAAACTGCTGCTGCCGGATCTAGAACCCTAAACCCTAAACCAACAAACCCCAGACCCAAACCCCTAAACCCTGAATCCCTAAAACCTAAGAGCCCTAAACCCTAAACCCTAAACCCCAAAACCCCCTAAACCCTAAACCCCTACCGCTAAACCCTAAACCCCAGAAGCCCTGGATCCTGAAGCCGATCTTAAGATCCTGCAGAACCACGGGCGCCCTCGAAGCTGAATTTGGAAGTTCTCGAAACTAGGCTCCCTTTTAGGGTCTCCTTAAAGGGATGTATCAGGGTTTCTATATGGTTTCTATAAGGGACTATGAGGGTTCTATACGGGTAGTTCTCTAATTCAGGGTCCCTTTAGGGTCCTTTTTATATGGGTGCCGTACTTTTTTTGGGGACCTAAAAAGGGACCCGAACTTAAAGAACTACCCGACTGGCTTCACCATCAACTCCTCACCTTAAGCCCCGAAGCCCCAAGCCCCAAACACAGGAAACACTGGAAGCCCACATCGCCCGAGCTCTGGTAATTGAAAAAATAAGATCTCCGAAACCCTCAGATCGCTTCAAATGGCTCCTCAAAGTGAGATGAAGGTAGCTGGGATTTTCCCATATAAGAGCCCGCATATAGGGTACACGACCTACCTTCATCCCAAATTGAATGCTTTGTTTATTGCTGCTACTATACTACTGCTACGACTATTATTCCTAGCAGGCTCAATCCCTCGATTCTTCTGTGACCCTAAATTCCCTACGCCCTAAACCCC